AAAAAAAAAAAAAAAAAAAAGAAAGAAAGAAAGAAAGAAAAGAAAAAAGAAAGCAGGCTGAGCAAGTCATGAGGGGCAAGTCAGTAAGCAGCATCCCTCCATGGCCTCTGCATCAGCTCCTGCCTCCAGGTTCCTGCCCTGTTTGAGTTCCTGCCCTGACTGCTTTTGATGATGGACTGTGACTGGGATATATAAGCCAAGTAAGCCCTTTTCTCTCAAAGTTACTTTTGGTCACAGCAATAGTAGCCCTAACTAAGACAACATCCTAACCCTCAGACACATTTTAAAAAGGAGTAATTCATTGGCAATGAGGTTCTGAGGCTTGGCCCTACTCCAGTATGACAGATGTCCTTATGAGAAGAGACTAGCCAGGGGACATGCTGCCTATCTGCCCATCCCAGCACTTGAGATGCTCAGGCGGGAAACTGAGTTCAAGGCCAGCCTTGGCTACTACATAGGGAGACCACATCTCATTAAAAAAAAAAAAAAAGTGTAGCTTAGGAGACATCTGCACACAGAGGACCATCCATGGGGGAACACAGAGAAGAAAACAGCCAACACCTTGTCTCAGACCTCTGGGCCTGGGGCTAGAGAATGAGCCTCTGTAGGCCACCACTTGCCTCTCCCCCAGCTAACGCTGACTGATGTGGCTGCCTCCTCTGCCATTCCAGGTGATGTGGCTGGTGGCAGGGGACAAGAGGGCCTGCTGGGTTCTCTTCGTCCCTCCCTCCTTCCCTGTTTCCTTCCCCGGTGTCTGCCCTGTCCTTGGTGGCCGCACACCTGTGGGCGTAGCTTGTTGTGTATTTTCATGTCGCTCACGCGCGCAGCTGTGGGTGTCCCTGCTGGGGCCTGCGACACAGGTGACAGGTGGTGAGAGTCTGTGGAAGCAGGCACCCTCGTCCCCAGAGGCAGTGTGGAAGCACCAGATTGTTATTTCCATCACACTCACCTCTGCCCGACCTGCCATGTGTCTGTCCATGGCCTTTCTTGGTTGTCACACTCACTGTCTGTCCCCTTCCCGAGGGCCTCTCTTGTCCGTGTGTCTCTCCAGCACCCAGGAGCTGTTTGTTGAGTGATCATGTGACTGAGGGGTTGGACCGTGTGCAGTAGAAGCTCATGTGCCATCTCATCCCACAGATTGCAGAACTGACCGTTCTAACTGCAGGAACTGGAAGTTGGGGGCGAGAACACTGAACTCCTGGACCCAGCTAAAATGTGTGCAGCTGAACTTGATGGGACCTTATGGGGTTCATGATCTCAGTGACAATGTGGCTGTTGACAGCCCTGCATCCTGGGCTAAGGACATGGAAATCACATTCCAGGAAATTGCCTCCAGCCACCCTGGGTCTGGGCCTTTGCTAGTTGGTCAGAGGAGCCCTGTCAGGAAATATCACATCTTGGAATTAAAGACTAGGAGGGAACAGGGCTCCCTGCCTTCAGCAGGAGCCCCGGAGCGCTGGCTGCTGTGTCTGTGGCTACCTGCTCTCACCTGCTGCCTCCCCCATTCCCAAAGGAAATTGAAGGCGGCTGGGTCTCTGCTGGGTAATTGAATCCTGAGTGAATGTGACAATTCTCGTCCAGGCTCCTCCGGAGTGCTTCCTGCCTGCTCTTAAAAAAAAACCGACACAGTCACAAACTCGGCAAATCTCCAATCAAACTTCTTGCGGTGTGAAAATGTTAGAGACTAGGGAAGGACCTGGGAGTGCAGGGAAGCATCACTGAGATTTTCTTCTTGTGTTTATTGAAATTTGAAGTCTGGGACCCTACCGGGACACCTCCCCTTCCCACACTCCCTGCAGCCACCCTCTGTAACCGACCCAGTAACTTCCTCTTTCTCATGTGTGTGTGTTTACAACTTAATCAGCTCATTGAGTGCTGTTCATGTGTGTGTGCCTTTAAGGCTGACCACTTGGCATTGAATAATCAACCAGGGGACTCGATGTCCCTGGAGAAGACAGGTTTTTTCCTCTCAGCAGCCACTAATCGCCCGTGGTTCTTCATCTAGGGGCGAGGCTTTGTGAGATTTTCCCTACCCATGCTGGCCTGGCAACTGGTATTGTCACTGTTGGGTCTTATTCAGGCAGCCAGGTGGTTGAGATTTCACTGGTGTAGCTTCCCAGGCACACGTAGAAGGTACTAGCTGGCAGCAGGCCAGAAGACAACTTTGGACAACTCTGTCCTTCCTCTGTGCCTTCCGGTGCCCGACTGCCACCACAACCACGCTTAGCCCCCAGCGGCATCTTGAAGGATTCTTTTCCAGGTCATAAGCTGTTCCTGAGTGCCTGTTTCATCCTTAACTGCCTCTTCGCTTGTACTATAACTTTCTCTCAGTAGAAATGGCCTCAACACTGCACCACGGGGCCAGGGATTTGGGCTAAGACGCCAGGTCCCCCTGGTGCCCCTCTTCCAGCCAGGGCACAGATGGCTCCAGCTCCTTCCGCTTGGACACTCTTGCCTCATGACCTTGTCCTTGTCTCCACAGAAAAGCTGGCACACTGCAAGCTGAACGTGGCTGAGGTGACGCAGTCGGAGATCGGGCAGAAGCAGAAGTTGCAGACGGTCCTCGAAGCTGTGCAAGACCTGCTTCGGTCCCACGGCTGGCCACTGCGCTGGAACGTGGACTGTGAGCGGCCTCTGTGTGGGGAGGGAGCATTGGAAGCAATAACCATCCTTTTGTCTTCCCATCTCGTCTTCAGCCATCCAACGATAGCCCCGTGGTTAAAAAACCAGTGCACCCTCTTGACCGGTTCTGCCAGAGGCCAGGTGGCAGAGGAGAGGTCTGGAAGCTAAGGGCACAATCACACACCAGTGCTCTGCCTCCCCACCCCCTTATACCACCCCACTCCTGACCCCCCTCCCGCTCCACCCCTGTATTTCAGCTCTAGGATTCTCATTTGCTCACGTTTATTTGTTTATTTTGTGTGGGTCTGAGTGCACTTGTGTGGAGGCCAGAGGTCAGCCTCAGGCAACATTCCTCAGGAACCATGCACCTTGTTTGTTTTGAGGTTAGGGTCTCTCACTAAGACCTGCAGCTCACCAGTGAGGCAGGGCTGGCTGGCCAGTGAACTCAGGTTCCTTCTGTCCCCAGCTACCCTCTGCTGGGATTGCTAGCATGAGCTACCACAGGTGGTTTTTTAAAAACTCCAACTTGAGCCCTCATGCTTGTGTGGCCAACATTTTATGGACTGAGACATCTCCTCAGACCTTGTATTGTTTTTAAGAGTCTCATGTAGCCCAGGCTAGACCTTGGACTCACTATGTAGCCCAGGCTGGCCTTTAAGCCCCGATTCTCCTATCTCCACCTCCTGAATGCTGGGATTATATGCCTGGTCCAAGGAGTTTTTGTTGAGACTTGACACCAAACACCCAGGGTAGTGGCATAAAGTGAGCCATATGGGGGTGGCCTACTGAGGCAGGTGCCAAGGAGCCCATGCTAGCCCAGGAATGTCATTTGTCAGCTGGTTTGAGGGGTTTGTGGCATCAGAGTTCATAGCCCAGAGGGAGCAGACGGGGATGAGCTGACTGAAAAAGCAGATGGCATCTGTCATGTCCTTGTCCCCACCTCCTCTGGCTCCTTGCTAGGCAGGTGCGATGTGGTATGGTGCCAGAGCCTGCCCTTCATGGCCAGGGCTCTGCGGTCTGCAGAGGGAGCTTGGATCTTGGCTGTAGAGATGGGACTGGCTCTGCCCCTGGTTTCTTGGCGTGGTGTTGAGTAGACCCATCCTTCTAGCCTTGGAGCTGGGGCTGTGGGTAGGAGATGCCTGACCAGCTGCAAATCCCTCCACAGATTTGCTAACACCTGGCCTGAAACTTTACATTCAGGGAGAGTCAGAGCAGCAGCCAGGGCCGACTGGGCCCAGAGCAACTCCTGCCCTTGTCACCCACCCCTTTGGGGACAGCTGATTATATAGCAGCAGAAGTTTGCCCAGTGCCAATGATAATGACATGTGTTATTGTGGTGGGTATGTGGCTATGACCTGTCCTTCTCCCCGAAACCTGTGATTCTCTGCTTTAAAAAACGTGATGCTTTTAAAAGTGGTTGCCAGGACCAGGCACAGTGACACACACCTTTAATCCTAGCACTCCGGATGCTGAGGCAGGTGGATCAGTGTGTGTCTGAGGCCAGCTGTTCGAGGCCAGCCAGGACTATACATAGTGAGACCCTGATTTGCTCCTTCCCCCCCCCCCAAAAAAAAAGAAAAAAGAACATGGTTGTCAAGTTGCCTTGGGCCAACAAGAAAGAATAGAAAGAAGCCAGGCAGAAGTCCCCTGGGGCCTTATCAGCCCTCTCTGTCTGAGGTCCTTTTGCCCTCCCCCAGAGGTCTCCTTGAGACATACCCTTAAGATGGTCCCCTGGTCTCTACTGCATCTGACCCGAGGCCTCTGTTTCTTCCCTCTCCACCCCAAAGCTATCCATGGAAAGAACCTGGTGTCCATTCTTCACCTCCTCGTCTCCCTGGCCATGCACTTCAGGGCCCCCATCCACCTTCCCGAGCACGTCACTGTGCAGGTGGTAGTCGTGCGGGTGAGTAGACACCGGGCCATCTCTCTGCCCGGCTCTCTGTGGGCGAGGCAAGCTGACTTCTTTTCCCTGTAGTTTTCCAGGAGGCTACCTTGTATTTTTCCCCTCTTGATAAACTGCATATCTCACCCTGGCTCTTTGAGAAATGATTGGAGCGGGAACAATGGCGTTGATTTGAAGAGTGGCACACGGGCGTTGAGGTTTAATTTCCCAGATTTCTGAAAAGAACGTTCATTTCTCTCCAAAGCCACCGAGTCAGAATTCAATCCCCTTGAATGTGCTTATTACTCACTGGAGGAGGCTGTGACGGGCACGGTGAAATAGACACCCAAATTAAAGGCTCTCTACATTTGCTCTCTATTATAAGCCATCATTCCCCATTATCTCTTTTTTTAGGTTCATTTCTCTTGATTTACTTGGAGACGGGAGCCAGGACCTGGGGTCCTGGTAATGGGGCCAGGCGTGGATTTGCCATGCATACTGTCCTGTTTTTTAGCCTTTCAAGCACACAGATGCTGGCCCGACTTATTTCCTGTGCACATTTTCACTGTGCATTACATTTAAATATGTAGTAAGCACCCGCTGGGTGCCAGGCATATGCCTGGACTTGTGGGAACCCTGAGTGAGGAAAACCCATGTGGCCTGGAAGAGCCGCCATGTCTGCCAAAGGGCTGAGGTCACAGTTGGGACCGGCATGTCGTTGGTGTTTATGTTCCCGGAGACACCCAGCTTCTTCTCTCTGTTCTCTGAATTTTTAACTTATCTGTTCTGTGGTCTGTGGTCCATGACGACCTGGCTGAGCCTGTGTTTTTTGAAGCCGTTCTGACCTCTCGACTGCCCTGGGAGCTTAGCTGTACCCTGCCGGGAAGGCCCTTTCTGACATTAAGTGAAGGTCACCTGCCATTTCTCCCTGCTTCCTTCCCAATCAGGATGTTTGTGGTCAGCGAGAGTGACGCAGACCCAGGGGGACCATTCCTGTGGCCCTAGTCTTGGCTGCTGGTTCCTAGGCAGCGGGCCGGGAAAGGCTTCCCAAGGACACATGGGAAAACGGTTCCTAAACCTACCTACGTCAGCCCCAGGCCCCAAGAGTGCTGAGCGGGCTCACCGTCCGGGTATTTCCTTTCAGTCTCACGCGTGGGTCCAAGACAAGCTTGGATTTTTGGAAAGTCTGACCGCTTCCAGCAAGCACCCTCCTGCATTCGGTGCCTCGACCAGGGTTCCTGAGTTGTCTGCGCAGAGCCCAAAGTAGAAGGGACCGGGTGAGGAAGTCCAGCTAGATGGCAGCTTCTCAGAAATAGCACCCCGAGCTCAGTTCAGAGCTTCTTTCTGCCTCGCCCGAGGTCCTCTGGGCTGTCCGTATGCTTGCTCGGGTAACCCACTATCTAATTAGAGACGAAGCAAAGCATGGCACATGGCATTTCATGGCTGGAATGCATGAAGGCCAAGCCTTGCTTACTCCCAGCAGCGGAAGCTTTGGGCAGGCCTTTTGACTTCTCAGGGTTACTGAGATTTCCCTACAAACTTGGGATGATGGTGCTAACCATACAATTATCCAGCTCTCAGTTTACCAGTGATTTCCCCAATGCCTAGCAACTAATAGGCACCTCATTCATGCTTAGCCTGCAAATAAGTGAACCAAATACCTAGAGTCTTTTGGTGGGCTCTCGAGTATCCATTTGGTGCGAGGCTAGGGGGTGAGCCAAGCTGCTGTTACTTGTGGGGTTTTGTTTGTTTGATGTTTAAAAATTTATTTATTATGTATACAGTGTTCTGCCTGCAAGCCAGAAGAGGGCACCAGATCTTGTTATAGATGGCTGTGAGCCACCTTGTGGTTGCTGGGAATTGAACTCAGGACCTCTGGAAGAGCAGCCAGTGCTCTTAACCTCTGAGCCATCTCTCCAGTCCTGCTGTTACTTGTTAATAAGAATGAGCCTACAAGATCCCTGGAGGCCAGCTCAGGGAAGAGTGTGAGGGGCTCCTGGTTAGGACAGATTCCCGTGGTTCTGGTTACTTTGGCTGGCCTCTGGGAACTCCCGGTGTATATGGGCTGCCGTCCACCATCCCCTTGGCTCTCCCCCTGGCTGTGTGCCTGCCAGGGTTGCTGGGGTGAAGCTCCACTAACTGGGGGCTTCAAGTGGTGGTGGATTTCTTCTCACAGCACTGCTGGCTTCCTTTCAGGGAAGCAGTGGTCCTTTTTGCCCTGTTCTGCTTCTGCTGGCTGCCTTTAGGGTCCCAGGTTCATGGCCGTGGTCCTCCATTTCTGCTCTTTCGTTTTTTTCAAGAGGGCCACTCACCCTAGCTTCAGAGTTCGTCACTCACCACTGCTCATCTCTGTGTGGCCCCTCTTCGCTGGTATTGGAAGCCTCTAAGGAAAAGCAAGTTCTGAGGTCCTAGGTAGACATGTTTGGGGCCTTCTGTGTGACCCATTACCCACATGATCTTTCTCTGGTGTCTCCTCAGTATGACTCGTGAACTTCCTGACTACCCATGTCCCCTGCCCCAGCTGCAGAATATGAGCTTTCTTGGGTCTTGCCTGGGATGTTTCTCTGGAGCCTTGCTCAGCGGCCTTATCCCAGGGCACCATGGAGAACAATTTGAGGACAGTCATAGACCAGAAAGGGTCTCCCTTGTGATCACCTGGAGTATCCCTGCTCAGGCATGAAGTGTGCACTGGGTATGTGGCCCTTTCTAGGCTGGCATCCTGCCAGGGCCACCTGGGAGGGGATTTCCCATGGGTTCCACGTGCGTTCTCTACGCCGCTCCTGCCCCGTGGTCTGTGTATTGATTTTCTTGCTTTGGGGTTTTCAGAAGCGGGAAGGCCTGCTCCATTCCAGCCACATCTCAGAGGAACTGACCACGACCACAGAGTAAGTGGACGGCAGCTGCCCCTCAGGGTTTTGTACCTTGTACCAACTGGTCCCCAGGGACCCATGCCTCATGCAAGCCAGGCCCTAGACTCTGGCTTCAGCCAGGGACACTGGCCTGGGTGAGCCTGTATTCCTCTATATTCTTTAGTCCTTGTGTGTGCTTTTATGTGGAGGTACCTGCCTGTCTCCTCCTCCACACACTTTCTTCCAGGCTTCCATGTCCGTCTCTCTCCCCTCAGAGGCTTTCTAATTCCTTGTTTTAGAAGGTGAACCAAAGGGATGCTGCAGTCAGTAAAGCGCTTGCTGTGTGAGCGTAAGGAACTGATTCTCAGCACCTACATTAAAAAACAAAAACAAAAACAAAAACAATTCAGGTATGGGGGTGCATATCTGTAACCCCATCACTGTGGTGACAGAGACAGGAGAATCTTTGGAGCCCATTGGTCAGCCTGTCTAGCCAAATCAGTGAGCTCCAGGTTCAGTGAGAGACTCTGCCTCAAAAAACAAGGTGGTGAGTCAGTCTCTGACCTCTGCAAATGCACACACTCGCACATGCATGCACACATCACACACACACACACACACACACACACACACACACACACACACACACACATACATTACACACAACTGAAAAAATTTAAGCCAGGTGGTGGTGGCACACACCTTGAATCCCAGCACTCGGGGAGGCAGACACAGGCGAGTCTCTGTGAATTTGAGGCCAGGCTGGTCTACAGAGCGAGATCCAGGACAGCCAGGGCTACACAGAGAAACCCTGTCTCAAAACAACTCCCCCTCCAAAAAAAAATTTGGAAGAATGCTCAGGATGGCCATGGAGCCTCTTGTGTCCTGCTTGCTTCCTAGTTTTCCTCTTCACTTGCCAATCACCAGTTGCTCCTTTGGAGGAAGGAACCATGTGACCAGTCAGAACTGTCCTGTGGTGGACACTGTGGAGTCCTCTGGTCTCTCTGAGAAAGCTAGAATTTTGAATAGCCTAGAGAAACTCTACCCAAATAACAAACTAGACAGTGTACTGTGTGTGTGGTCCCACAATGCCCCATGGCGGGTCCTAGGAACCCGCCACTTTCGTTCCTCCTGACTAAACCTGTTTCCATGTTTAAAACATCGACGGCGTCCACTAGCCCACAAGCTCCATTCACGGGGATGCTAAGGCTGCGCGTCCACAGCCTTTCGGCAGCTGACTGGCACAGAATCCACTCAAGCGTGGTGAGTGGGCTGCCAGAGACGCTGAAGATGTGGCAGTGTTCCCTGTGACGGGTGGTGTTCCGACCTGCTCCCAGCAGCCCGCAGGGAAGGACAGAGAGCTGGGGGAGCAGGTGGGAGTGTGCTGTACCAGCGCAGTGGGTCTGTGGCTGCAGAACGGTGAGTTCAAGGGACTGCACGGTGGGGTGGGGGCTTGGTGGCCTGACTCGAGATGCCGCCCCTGGGTCATTTCATTTCACTCACAAGCCTGCAGCCACTCGTGGCAATGGGCTCAACCAGGCAGTTCTGCTAATCTTGCTGTGACTGGTCCTGTGAGGTCTGTATCTGAGGGCTTCCCAGGTCCTGATGGACCAAGGCAGCCTCTCATACTGCCTTTCCTCCTCATGGGAGAGCTTCCTCTCTAGTTCCCTGCATGTTCTGAGAAGCTGAGTACCCTCGTCCTGGTCTAATCCTGGATTCCTGTACCATGCCTTTTTTTTTTTTTTCCTGTGGGTCAGAGTAAGTCTCGGGTCATCCTGAGCTAGGGATTTGGGGGAACAGACTCCACCTTCTGACCTTGAGTGGTCAGGGGCCTATGCAGCTGTGGGAAGAAGCAGCCAAAGCCATCTATTGCCAACTGCACAGGGTGAGGGGGACCAGAGAAGGCGGCAAGAGATGCTGGGGGCTCCACAGTCATCAGGGGCGAAACTTGAAAGCAGAAAGAGGTTTGGCCACCAGCTATGTCCAGCACTCTGGGGGCCTACTGTGTGCCCGATGGAGCTGGTCATGGGAGGAACAGGGTGGGTGGTGAACATGGTTCCTCTCTCCCGGGGCTGGGGAGAAAGCCAGGCTGATGGTTGGGTGGAATGTAAGACCAGGCACAGGGTGGAGGCTTGGGAAGTTCTGTGGCCACAGTGGTGTTTTCAGGCACAGGCGCACACTGTAGTCAGGGAGGGGGACACATCTGTTGAGCCATTTCTGCTGGGTGCCAGACGCTTCCATGTAGCCAAGGAAGGAGCTGAGGTTTTTCTAGTCCCCTGTCTGCCCCCTGTCCACCCCCTACCCCCATCCCTGTGGCCACAGGGGCTCTGATGGATCCATAGAACATTTGGTGCCTGCCAAAACTAGAGAGAGGCCTTGGCCCATCATGGTCCCTGCAGTGCACCTCTGGCTTATCCTGCCTGCATCTTTGCTGCACGCACGCACCTCTGGGAATGCTCAGGCCTGAGGTTAGTTTGGTGGGTTTTTTGGTTTTTGGAGAAAAGGTCTTACTATGTAGACCAGGCTGGCTTTGAACTCACAGAAGTCTGCCTGCCTCTGCATCCCGAGTGCTGGGATCAGAGGTGTGCACATTACACCGGGCACATTGTTAACACTTAACTCCTAGTTTCCCAGAGGGCTCTCCCTCCAGGAAGCCCTTCCAGCTTGCCAGCCAGCCAGGAGTGAATGGCCTTACCATTCCTGCAGCCTTTCAGAATCCTCCTTGTTACCGGCTCTGAGCTGTGGAGGAGAAACTCTGGCTGGGTCCAGGGTGTTTGGTTCTGTGTCTTTATGTGCTGCACATAGTAGGTCTTCCCAGTAAGTACTTAATAAGATGGAGCCCGAGCACTTGCCTGCCCTAGAGGTTGGTGCCTAGGGACTAAGTGAATCTCTTAGCTTTAGGAAGGGAGCACACGGGTTGCAGCTGAGCGTCACAGAAACTGACCCTCATCCTCTGGAAGTTGGCTCCAGGACCATGGCTCACGGGTCTTTGTGGTGGCTGGGTTAGCTGCAGCCAAACAAACTTAGTTTACTTTCCATAGCTGTGATAAACACCATGACCAGAAGCAACTGAGGGAGGAAATGGCTTATTCCAGTTTACAGTTGTCGTCCATCACTGAGAGAAGTCAGGGCGGGAACTCGGGGAACGAACCTGGAGGGAGACACTGAAGCCGAGGTCACGGGAGAGCACCGCTCACGGGCTTGCTCAACCTGCTTCTCACCCAATCCAGGTCCCAGTCCCAATCAAATCAAGGCAAACCCAAACTCTGGCTGTGTCAACAGCTTAGTGTCTGGGACTCACGATCTGCTGGGCGCCACGGAGTCTGCGCAGCTTTACCTTTCTGGCTCTCCCCTGGGCAGCACACACAGCTTGTCTCTTAGGCTCACGCTGACCCCATGCATACTTGCCGATGTCCTTGGTGGTCATCCCATAGTCCTGGCATCTCTAAAATGCTGTGGTCTCCACCCATGGCCTCCTGGCCTCTCTTAGGGACCCCACCCTACCCCGTATTGCCTTTCTCCACGGCCCCTTCAATCCTGGGGCTTCTGCTGCAACAGAGGCTGTCCCCTCATCAAGGGCCTCTCCTGGTCTCTCATAGTGCCAGGCTTCACCTTCTCTCTGTGACCCCTTCATGCCTTCAAAACCGGCGCCACCTTACCAAGTTCAGATGCCAGCCCCAGGAACAGCCTTGGCCCCCTCTGAAACACAGCTTCTGTGTCCTGACCCTAAGGAAACGCTTCTCAGATTTTACCTCATCGATGCTGGTTTCTTGTTTATCATAGCTGATTCTTCAGTCCCAGCTGACCAGAGTCACGGATTACCTCAAAATACCACATAAAAAGCCCCATAGACGGGATTGGAGAGATGGCTCAGCGGTCAAGAACATGCTCTTTCAGAGGACCCGGGTTCAATTCCCAGCATCCACACGGCAGCTCACAACTGTCTGTAACTCCAGGATCCAACACCCTCACACAGACATACATACAGGCAGAAGAGCAAAAGATTAAAGTTAAAATACATTAAAAAATCCCATAAAGTCTTTGAGGGACTTTCAACATTCCCTCCAAAACTTCACCAGCAAGGTTTCCCAGCCTCATTTTCCAAGTTCTCACAGCTCATTAATCTTTAAGCTTTCAAATGGCTTTTCTTCCACGCTTATCCTCTATCTCAGTGGTTCTCAACCTTCCTCAGGCTATGACCCTTTAATATAGTTCCCCATGGTGTGATGACTCCAACCACAAAGTTATTTTTGTTGCTACTTCATAACAGTAATTTTGCCACTATTATGACTCATCATGTAAATATCTGATATGCAGAATGTTTGATATATGACCCTGTGAAAGGGTCATTGGATCCTCCCAAAGGGATGCGACTCACAGATTGAGAAACACTTCTCTATATGATGGCCGTGGCTGTGAGACAATTTGATCAGAACCGATAGACTCCTATGTCCCATCATCCATTCTATCTGTCCTCTCTAAATGGCACACCAGGGTGGTCACTGTGTCAGGAAAGAGGGCACTATCTGTATGTTGATGTCAGTCATCTGTACACGCCCCTCCCTGGGTGGGGGGCCCTGAGGTTGGGGGCTGGGGTCTGATTGGCTCTACCTGTCTCCTTCTTAAGACTTGGTCTATGCCACCACCATCTGACACTTTGTTCTTGTTCACAGGCTCATGATGGGTCGGTTTGGTAAGTACCCCAGTTTGGGGTGGGACACACTGAGACCCATGGGCACACAGGGGCAAACCCAGAAAGCTCTGGGGTTCTCAAGGTCATGCTTGTGAACTTGGGCAGGAGGGGTGAGGCTGGAGGGAGGGAGGAAAGGAGGTAATTACCCACTCACCTGACCCTGTCCCCTGGGCAAGAGAGGGCAGACAAAGAGACCAAAAACCTGTGTGCATTTAAACCCTTGGAAGTAGAAGCCTGGCTCCTAGCTTAGGTAGGGATGTGGGCAGTTCAAAACAGAAAGCCCTTGGCCATAATAGTGTTCTCCAGCCAGCAGGGAGGTAAGGAAAAAAACCAAAAAGCAAAACCAAACCAAACCCAAAAAGCCAGAAGCCAGTTAGAAGCTCCCAGCTCATTTCCAGATGTATACCTGACACTGGGGAATCGTTGGGGGTCAGGTGCCTCCTCCAAAACCTCAAAGAGCACCCTTCTCTTACCAGGAGGTTATAAAGAAGGGACGAAGGGTGTGAATCACCTGGGGAGTGGACACAGCTCTGATGGCCTGGAAGGTCTTGAGTCTGAGAGAAAGCCGTAGCCACGTGGCCCCTGAGCCTTTTCCAATGGGCAGGTGCTATGGCTGCTGGGAAAATTCAGAGGCTTTTCAGCATTTTGTTTAAGCAACTCAGCTCTCCCGCCTCCTTCCTCGTCTTTAGTGTCACTGTTACTAAACACAAATAAAGGAAGGTGGAAGGGAGCCTCTGTTCAGTCTGTGAAGAAGAGGCAGGGTGGAGGCAGACATGGGTCCATGTGGGACCCCTGCCCCTGTCCAGGTGCAGGCTAGTTTAGAGACATGTCTCCCCCTGTAGCCTCCTCTACACCGAGGAGGCTCTGAACCCCTGGGGATCGCAGAGGCGGGAAGATGACGAACGGGGGACCCGAGAGTGAGTGCGTGTCTGAGTGTGGGACTGTCACTCCTGTGTTTGGGTTGGCCCTGTTTCAGGTTCAGAGGATTTGAAAAGAGTTGTCTTGGCTGGGGGGAGGGGAGCCTGGGTCGGTATCTTGGGAGCCCCGGCCAGTGGGAAGAGCACCTGGTCAGGTGCGCATGCGTGGGGTGTGGCTGCCAAGGAGAGAGCCAGGTGCTGCCAGGACTCCGCCACAGTGCTGGGGACATCTGAGGCCAGGCCTCGGAGGCTGTACTCACTTCACTTCTCACATGCTCTGGCGTAAGATGAAACAGACTATTAGCCAGTGACAGGCAATTAGTTTCGCCCCCGCCTTGTGCTTCTGCTGACGCAGAGAGGTCTCCTAGTTACGCGCCTGACAGCCTTAGCCTTGGTGCAGTGAATCCCTGGGCTCCCAGACATCCTCTTGGTGGGGAGGGGGAGTGGCCCATGGCTGTCCCAGGGTTTCTGGTCCCATCTGGCTTCAGTGCTCTGCCAGGGTCTGGTCACACTGCCACCATTGGTGCCACAGTGCCCCCTGCCATGCTGGTTCCTACCAAGCCCTCGGCTTCTTCGCACATCGCACGGGAGGAAGGTCCCAGGTACCCCTTGTCATACCTGTTTCCTGTCCGCTGTCCCTACAGTGGCCTCTAAGGACATCCCAGACATCACATCCCCTGTGGCCTCCTTGACTTTTTTTTTCACCTCCCGAGTGTCTGGGCCCAGCCCTGTGGCTCCCTCACTTCCACTGCTTTTTCCAGCCACAAGACCCTCCTGCTAAATTACCCATGGTTCCCTCCTGCATTGACTTAGCTATCACTCACCAGGGATCCCCTGCCACAAGCCAGCACGCACTGGTCCTGCGACCTCAGGTCACACTTAGAGCCCTACCCTACTCCTAGGAGCCTCACTGTTTGTGTGTACGCTCCCCCGCCCCAGGACATGTGCAATTGCTGTTTGCCGTCACATCCAATAGCCTTTTCCTTTGCTCGGGACTCTAGAAGTGTCCTGGAGGCAGCCACTCACCCCAAGCCTGCATGATCTCAGCAGCCCTCCCTGCACCGCTGTCTCTTGTGAGGAGGGACAGCGTGCTGACCCCCCTAAGGCTGAGCCTTGCTGGAACCAGTTCCCTCAGCCTGCTTGGCCTTCAAGTGTTGTGTGCACCGGGAACAGCTCCTCTCTGGTCCACCCTTCCATCATTCCAGCAGATAAAGGGGCGCCCAGCTTCTTCCTATCAGCATCATGTCCTGGCTGAGGTGGGAGCAGGTTTTTCTCTCCCTGGAAACAAGTCTCTTGGGAGCTGGGAGGTTAGAGCCTGGTCTCCATAGCAACAGCTTTGCCGGTTGCCTTTTCTCTAGCTGGTGGCCCTTCCTCCCCAGTTCCCCCGACTCAGGAGCCCTTTCTGACGCTGCTGTCAGGATGGGATGGGCAAGAAGAGAAGCATCTTCTTCGTCCCACAATCAGTTTGCTGTGATCCAGTCCCCTCCCTTCAGCTCTCCACCAGAACCCGTGCTAAAACTCTAACCTGGGGTTCACACCCCTGTTCGCACCCCCTGGTCACCCTGCACCCAGGGCGCTGCACTGAATGATGCAGCTCCCGGTCAGCCTCTCCCCACCCAGGCCACCTTGCTCTTAAATCAACTCTGGGCTCTCTCGTGTTTCTCTTTGCACATTGTGTTCTCTCTGGCTGGAATGCCTCTCTCTCTCTCTCAGCCGCAAGGACCCACGCTTAGGTTCTTAGCA